AGGAGCGGTGCAGCCTGCTAGAGCCGCAGGCTGGGAGGCAGCACAGGTGTGGGGGGACAGGGGATTGGGACCACTGGGGTGGGAGGCAGTCAGAGCAGGGGCTGGGGGCTTGGGCACTGGGGCCAGGAGATGGTCGGAGCAGTGCATGGAGGGCTGGGGATTGGACTGCCCCAACTGGCAGGCGGTCCGAGCAGAGGTGGGAGGGCCCAGGGCTGGGGGAGAGCCGCAGGCTGGGAGGCAGCACAGGTGTGGGGGGACAGGGGATTGGGACCACTGGGGTGGGAGGCAGTCAGAGCAGGGGCTGGGGGCTTGGGCACTGGGGCCAGGAGATGGTCGGAGCAGTGCATGGAGGGCTGGGGATTGGACTGCCCCAACTGGCAGGCGGTCCGAGCAGAGGTGGGAGGGCCCAGGGCTGGGGGCTGCCAGAGCAGGCGGGGGCCGGGGAATTGGGCTGCCACCCTGGGCATGGTGTGATGGTGGCAGAGTGTGAGCAGAAGGCCCTGACAAGGTGCTGCGGCGTGGGGGGAAGCTGTGCGTGGGCAGGGGGTCCGAGCAGAGGTGGGAGGGCCAAGGGATGGGTGCCGTGGTGCCCCCACAATGGGGCTGCCAGGGCTGGGAGCTGCCAGAGCAGGCGGGGGCCGGGGAATTGGGCTGCCACCCTGGGCATGGTGTGATGGTGGCAGAGTGTGAGCAGAAGGCGCTGCGGCGTGGGGGGAAGCTGTGCGTGGAGGAGTGAGAGCAATGACAAGGGCATGGGCGGGGGGAGGCGAGGGGAGTTAGGCGCACCGAAGCCTGCGCGTAAAACTCCTTTCCAATGAGCTCCCCTCCCCCACTTCTCTGCCCGCCTCCCCCTGCCTACCTGTGCCTCCCTCCACGGCTGGGCCCCGCCCGCCCAGCAGGCTCCGGCTGTGCCCGTCGGAGGATAACCGAGTGCCCACCGCCAGCTCATCTGGAGTCTCATTGGCCTGGCTGAATTGCAAGCGAATGAAGCTGAGCCCGTTGTGTCTGTGCGGGGCGCTGTGTGTGCGCCGCCAAGGCGGGAAAGCCGCACCGCTGGCGCCAGCGCAAGGTTTTCTCCCCTCTATGTCGATACATCCACGGTTCCTGCAGCATAAACCATCCCTAGCGTTTGGTGGTTCTGAAAACGCAAAGGCCTCTTCCCTTCAAAGGAGAGCGTTCGTCCTGCCTATCAATCAGCGCTAGAGCCGCGCGTGTATCGGCATTTTAATTTCAGGAGCCATTAGAGAGAATATTGTGCAAAAACCAGGAGGGGAACCATCAAGCCGATACGACGACGTTGTTTGTTCTCGTGCGGTGTGTGTCTCATCATCATGGGGTGGTTTTATGAAACACAGCCAGGACCACCCCGACTCGGTTTCGGTTACCGCGGGAATTCAGCCAGCACTCCCATTCGGAGGCCAAGAGTTCGGACTGCCACGCGGGAACCAAACGTGTTTTAACGCACACGTACTTTGCTGCCTACGAAATATTGCGAGTGAGGTTCGGCTCTGAAATGTTACTGTGCAAAACGGGCACTTGTCCTTACACCGTCGCCTCCCCGAGGTTAGCCCCTTAGGCCATGTCTGCACTAGGGAAGGGTTTCGAAACGACTACATTCACGTTAACGAGGGGGCGGTGCCCTCTGCCCTCTCCACTTGCCACCCCACTTTTTGTGGATACAGAGTGACGTGATGACATCACTCCGGCGTCCCACAGGAAAAGTTTTGTATCGAGAGAGAACTCCCGATTTAACAGGTTCGATCTAGCGGGTCCGCACTACGGGGAAGCCTCAAAGTTAGTCCAAGGCAGGAAGTGCTGGGGAGTGATTAGTCTGAATTACTCTGGGGAGTCGTTATTTTGAAATAGCGGCACCGGAGCATCCCCACCGCCGGTATTTTGAAATAGCAAGTTCGGTGTTAGCGTTACTCCCGATGAAAAGCAGGAGTTCAGATTTCGAATTCCATGGCCCATGTATTTTTAAATAACCGGCTTGGTCGTGTGGATGTTCCACTTCTAAATTCAACCTTGGGGGGGAGGTTATTTTGAAAACAAGTCCTAGTGTGGACCAGGGCTCAGTAGTTTGGGACACAAGTAAGGCCCTGAGGATACCCTCCCGTCTGCTTTGCAGCTCCAGACCCAGCCCAGCTACGAGAGAGGAGGTTTATAGTAAGAACAGGATTGTTGCCAAGTTCTCATGTACAGGGAGATGAGTTTCTTTAGAGCCAGGGTTGGGTGGAAATTTTCGGGTGGGATGTTATTCTGCTGCAAAGCACTGATTGGCCAGAACAGAAACGTTCTGCGGGAAGGCCCGCTGGGACAACGTTCCAGGTGTTGTCAGGTCACCGATGTAGGAGGTTGGGATTTACTGCCGAGGTGCCCGGACAGGTCTCTAGCTCCGTCGACGACGATAGCCAGTCGGCTGCCTGCGTGTGCGCTCAGTCACGTGGGCCGTGGCGACTTGCACAGTTAGTCAGCCCAGCAGACCCCAGAGCGCCCCCAGGGACCACGAATCAGATAAGGGTGGAAGGCGCCCGGCCAGGTTTCCTGTTAAGCTCAGAACAGTAATAGCAGCCAGTAGACTCTACAGAACCACTACACACAATGGCCTCAGCTCAACCAGCCGGAGACCCCCCTGCCCCCGGCGGGAGAAAGCCAGCCCCCCCAAGACACGCTTTGTATACAGGTTCAAACTAGACACACCTCACTCCTGACGTGTCAGGTTGCCACCCTCAGGCACTACTTGGATACCGCCCTTCGCCCTGCACCTCGAGGTTCGATTAGATCCTCTCCACCCATCCTGCTGTCAGTTTAGACCCTTTCCGGGCCCCGGGTCGGTGTCGGTGGGGAGTGGGTACCAACAAGCTGCTGGCACCGTCTGCTTTCAACTTATGCCTAGGGTTACCAGGGAGCTTCAGAAAAAATACCAGAGAGGAGGGAGAGACCTGACAGGAGGGGAGCAGGACTGGCCAGGAGGAGGGGGGCGGGGGACAGGAAGCAGGGCTGGTAGGGGGAAGGGAGATTGGGGG